GGTATTTATAGGCTGCATCTTGTTCCAGTTCCCTAATCTTTTTGACAAAGTCTAGACCTATTGAGGGTGTTTCTATAACTCACACTTTCTTGAATGTTATTTTTGCACATTTATCTAATTCAGAATCATTCCTTGTCTTCTCATTCTCTTCCATTTTCACTTCCTGTTACCCTCTGCGTTTTAGTGGATTTATCAACTTTCTTGGGGTGAAACGGTTAATATATATATATATATATATATATATATATATATATATATATATATATATATATGAAATCAAAAGAATTATTTCAATTCACAGCGACCGTGCATTGTTTTTTCTCTCTCTCCGATGAAAGAAACATCAATTTTCTTAGGATCTCTTTTCGTTTTAATTTTGAAGCATTGTGGAAGTTAACAAGATTGTGTCTATTTTTAGGCGAAGGTGCGTGTTCAATATATAAACAAAGAAGATAGAAGAAGCATACCAAATAATTTGAGTTTCTGCTAAGGACGTTTATTGCTTTTATGTTGACTGTATTGAAACAAAATTAAACGTCTCTTGAGTATGCCCGTTTTCCTTTTCGGTTCAGAAATAGTTTATGGGAAGTAAGGATAATCAGTACCTAGATGGATGACCGCTTGGGAATCTTAAAATCTTAAAAATATTTTCTGGCTTTAAATAACCTGATAAAGGTTGATAAACTGTAAAAGACAAATCTACTAAATGTATTTGAGAGTGCTACTAGATTAGTAACTAGGTCTCACCGTTCCCATCTCAACGTTGAACTAGCGAGATGCAACCGCCAATTCTACTCCAACAGTTTCTTTTCTTGCACTTCCCACCCGTGAAACTCCCTTCCGATTTCTTGCTTCCCCGACAACTACAATTTTCAAAAATTTAAATGCATCGTCAATCGTCATCTTCTGTCTTCTTGAAACCTGTTCTTTATTAGCCCTTACCTCAATCCTCTGCATTCTCAGTCTTTTCATTTTTTTTCACTTTCATTCTCTGTCACCCTCTGCGTTTTAGTGGCATTATCGCCTTCCTTGGAGTGAAACGGTTGAAAAGAAAATATTATTAGAATGGCTAATGGCGGTCTGCGCAGCAAATGAATAATGAAAACATGCGAGTGATCTTGTGTCGCAGAATTCACAAAATGTTGCAGGTGAATAACGAGCACATGAAAGTATATATCGAGGTTAATTTCCTTGATAAGCAACCCAGCCATCTGAAACAATATGGCTTCCAGACTGAATATACCACACAATCGCCTCTTTTAGTCTATGCTCACCGAAAAACTAAGAAACTCTTCCTAGAAGCACGATTGATGTCGCCGAATACCCAATGGCTAGGGCGACATTAGCTACAGCGATATTTACGATGAAAAACTTTTAAAGATATAAAATGACAGATTATTTTACGTCGCTTAAGGGAAATAATAACTGGATGATTATATTTCTCTATATAACATTTTTTTCATGTATCTATAACACTCACTACCCAAGTGTTAAATGATAGAGTATGCTGAGTTCATTATCCTTGGTTGGCAACCGGTCTAGGAGAAGGAAAATATGAATCCAAACCTCCTTTTCACTATAGCTATTCCCAGTTAAGGGAAAGGCTTTGAAAGTAAATATAAGGATGATGACAACAAGAGTGATAATGTCAATTTTTTAGGAAAACAGGTTACTCAAGTCCAGTAGCTGTTATCGCTCTTTCCAGTATTGATGGAAGTTTCCTTCCTAACCTTTTATTTGAAGTAGTGTGGAATTTCAATATCTTGATTATATCATTATTTTCTCTTTCGGTTGAAATTTATAAAATCTCTTTCTTAAAACACTTTTTTAGGAAAATGGGTTTCTCAAGTCCAGTAGCTGTTATAGCTCTTTCCAGTTTTGATGGAAGTTTCCTTCCTAACCTTTTATTTGAAGTAATGTGGAATATCAGCATCTTCATTATGTCATTATCTTACTCGTCAAGTTACATGTGTAATCCAATTTAGTTGTTACTGCTGCTGAAAATCCTCAAGTCATGTGTATTTTTATAATACGCACAAACACATATATAAGTGTGTATATATGTGCACATTAAATATATCATCTGTCCTTCAAGATACTGTCTCCTGTGGTGAAGTACATATGATATATTTAATGTGCACTATATATATATATATATATATATATATATATATATATATATATATATATATATATGAGTGCACATTAAATATATCATAATGTGCACATATATATACAGATGTATGTGTTTGTGTGTATTATAAAATACACATGACTTGAGGATTTTCAATAGCAGTAAATAACTATATATATATATATATATATATATATATATATATATATATATATATATATATTGTTTTGGCCTTGTTAGGGCCAGAATAACAAAACAAGAGAGGCATTGAGTTAAGTATAATAACAGAAACTAATAAAAACATATACAAACTAGAGTGTTGCAGCAAGAATGTTCGGCCCCACTGTCAGATCTGACTACTGGAAATCTCCCTCTCCAAAAGGCAGTACCTGCTCCTATTCATAGCTGGGAGAGTCCATGCACGCGTAGGTAAATTACCATAACACACACGCGCACACACACACACACACACACACACACACACACACACACACACATATATATATATATATATATATATATATATATATATATAAACCTAGTGAGTCAGACAAACCTACCTTTAGGTTTCACCTAAACGGAAAGCCGGATTTCCCTGACGATCCGTTTAGGTGAAACCTAGGTAGGTTTGTCTGGCTCACTAGGTTTATCTAGGTCTGCTCTACGGTTGTATCTAGGTCTGCTCTACGGTTGTATTGAGCTCTTTTGTTTGTTAGTTGTTTACTCGTATCGGGTTTTTTTCTTTGGGCTTCAGACCTGCATCTGTGCGATTTTTTTCGACAGACTTTCATGTTTCTAGCTCTTTCTTTTTTTAAAACCTTTTTTTTCTTCGTGATTGATTTGATTATTGGCAAATCAAGAATTCGAAGTTTTTCGATATATATATATATATATATATATATATATATATATACGAGGTCTGTTAGAAAAGCAATGGGACTGGTGTCAGAAACAATTTATTACATTTCCAAAAAACAAACTACATGGTTTCCCCTTCAAAATAATCCTCCTCAAGTCTAATGCACATTTCCATACTTCTCTTCCATGCTTCTATGCAGTTCCAGTAGGATTCTCTTTGGACGCCTCTCAGCTCCGTCGTTACGATTCCCTTGACGTCCTCCACGCTTTCAAAACGGGTCACTTTGATGATCCACTTGTGCTTGTAGAAAAGAAGAAAGTCACACGGCACAAGGTTAGGTGAATAGGGAGGTTGTTCCAGTACGATGATACGGTTTTAACTTATCAAATCTTTCTCGTAAAAAATTATTTCAAGAAATACGTCTCTCAAGTCCAGTAGATATGATCGCTTTAAACTGGCTTAAAATTCGGATGTCATGGATATGACGGTAAACTACATCCGGCAGCAAGATCTGTAATCGGGAGATTGAACCACCTTTTAATTGTTGTTGTTTCCCCGGTCCACCCTGACGCGATGTTGTAGCATCTTTTAAAGTCTCAGCTATGGTCAAATAGTGAAACCCCAAACAAAATACTACGAAAGCATAAAAATATTTTTTTATATTGTAAAATTACCAGCAATACATTTTTATGTTTTAAAATAACCAACAACACCTATTTATAGTAAAATGACCAGCAATACAATTTAACAAAATTACCAATACATTTTATAGAAAAATGGCCGACAATATATTTTATTTGTAGTTGAAGGCACACAATCACTTTTAAAATAGATTCAATTGAAGCCATAACATTGTGTTCAAAATATTTAGATTTTGACATTAAATAACCACTAGAGGCGTTGGTATGTCGTTAGATAAAGTCAACGATTAAACTCGGAAAATTACTGAATTCCAGAACAGATTCACGATCGCGGTCCCGGTTCCTGTTAGCCTTAAATTTGGGAAAAGCACCACATGTACTGCAGCCGTGGTGTCTCTTTCTTTATCCAAACTTTTCCTTCTCCTAGGCCGGTTGCCAATCAAGGCTACATGGCTTAGTTTGTGCTGGTATTTACGAAATCCTATGTGCTGTGTAATGTGTGTGTGTATGGTGGGGGAGAGATGGATTTGCGTATATTCTTATTCCAATTGCTCAATCCGATAGGCAAAAAAAAAAAAATTAGATTAAATTAAAAAACAAAAATAAAATATAATAAAAATAAAATTTAAAAAATAAAATAAGAAATATAAAAAATAAAATAAAATAAAAAATAAAATAAAATAAAAAATAAAATAAAACAAAAACAATAAGATAAAAAATAATATAAAAAATGCAATAAAAATAAATAAAAATAAATAAATAAATGGTTACAAAGATTAAAAAAAGCACAAATCAACAAGATCGTCGTTCACTACACTTCGGTGAAGGACGATTATATTTGAAGAAACGCATCCAGACTCAATACACTAACAACTGCTTGCGAGATAACCTTGCTGCCACCTTCACTACAGCAGGCGCCTTGCTAATTTCAAAGTCCGTCCACGTCTAATTCGAGTCTACACTATTAAAACAATGAACGATGATAGAATTCTCGATACCAATCCATGTCTGCACATGCAGCATTCTACCGATTGTTTTTCGGTAGGCGCCTCTGGGTATTTATACGGCTCACCTTTGCCTGTCTGAATACTACCATAGTAGAGTATCCTGCAAGTGAATAATAAAGGTCTTTGGAATTGGATTGGTAACCATCGGATTTTGTGCCATTTCTCAAAGTGTTTACTACCGATAATCCCATAGAATTCGTTGCTTTTATGAACCAATGCCGAAGATTCATTCATCCAGTCCGTGTTAGGTTACAAGGTACATGTCAACCCTTGTAAATTTAGCTGGAAACAGAAATGGAAAAAAAAATTGATAATTTCAGTTATTTTAAAGGTAGTTTTCAATATAAATAAACAACATCTTACTTGGGAACAGTGTGTAAGTGAGTGCGTGTAATATGGAGAGGTTGATGAAGAGAGAAACAGAAAGTGAGAGCGATAGTGAGAAAGTGAGGCAGAGAGATAGAGAGTGAGTGAGAGAGAATATGAAAGAGATAGAGTGAGAGGGAGTCAGAAAATGAGGGAGAGAGATTGAGAGTGAGTGAGAAAGAGTGAGAGAAAGATAGAGGGAGAGAGAGACAGAAAGTTAGGGAGAGAGATAGAGAGTTAGTGAGAGAGAGAGGGAGAGAGAGGGAGAGAAATATATAGGGAGTAATAGAGAGGGATAGATAGTGAGAGAGAGAGAGAGAGAGAGAGAGTCTATTTCAATTCTTGTAGGAATGACTACTAAAACATTCCCCCTCCACAAATTGTACAGATGCATACTGGGACTTCTTCCTCACCAATAAAAATGGATCAATTCTCAATTTCATCTGCCATATTTTTGTTCTTACTTGTCTTACAATCACTTGACTGTATCCTTTTTGCACGTTAACACCATTCTTACTTTGTGAACCCTTTGCCTTGTTGCTGCTGCTTTGCCTTATTGCTGCTGCTTTGCCTTATTGCTATTGCTTTTCCTTATTGCTGTTGCTTTGACTTATTGCTATTGTTTTGCCTTATAGTGATTTTATAACATATTTATGTTATAAATTTTTTTTTAAAAATAATTATATCTGCTTTACTTTGTATTGAGCACTCTTTTAAGAATAGTAATTGTTGGTTATTGGAATTCATTCCGTATACACCAATTATATACTTGGGTGTATATATATATATATATATATATATATATATATATATATATATATATAGTGGGGGAAACAAATATTCGTACACATACAAATTTTTAATCAATTCTATTTCCAACTAATGAATAAATATACTTTACACGTAATTAACTGTGTACACAGAGGCATAATAACTAAATATGCATAGAAAACACACAAAAATGATTTAATAGAAATAAATCTCATTTATTTATTTTAATGGGTGAAAAAGTATTCTTACAATGCAAATTTCAGATTGTAAAATTTTAAAATTGCTTTAATACTCAAGATTATTGAAGTGGAATATTTTAGAATGTTCCAATCATATTATTCGCAGTTATTTTTAGCCTAAAAAATGCAAACAGAATATTTTGTAATTGATATTCATTCAAGAAGGTTATCATCATGGCAAGAGGTAAAGAATTGACAAATTCGCAAAACAAACTGATTATTGAGCTCTGGAAAGAAGGTAAAAATTACAGGAAAATCTCAGAATACTTGAATATTCCATTTATTGTATGTATACGAATATTTGTTTTTCCCGCACTATATATATATATATATATATATATATATATATATATATATATATATATATATAGAGAGAGAGAGAGAGAGAGAGAGATACATAGATAGATAGAAATCGTGATCAAATAAGAGAGTGACAGAGAGAGAGAGATAGATAGAGGGAGAGAGAGAGAGAGAGATGAAGTGAGACTAAAAGAGAGAGAAAGAGAGACCAAATAAAAACATCAAAATTAATTGAAAGTGAGATGTAGAGAGAGAGGGTCGGGAAGAAAAAGAGAAAATTAAAAGACAATGATATATATATATATATATATATATATATATATATATATATATATATATATATACATACAGTGTGCGATGAATAAATTGTCGTCAAAATTACGCAAAAATGGAAATAACACTGATATCTCCTTTTTACAGAAATATTTATTAAAATTGCACAAAAATATCTTGGAATACTAAGGAGTAGTAGGTTTATTCAATAAAACCGCCATTGGCTTCAACCACGGCCTCCAGACGACTTCGGAATCCACTTCAACTCCTCTGGGCGGTCTCCTTATTTAAGTTGGTGAATGTTGCCATAATCCTTGCTTCAGTTCATCTTTGATTTTACAAGGAGTTTTGTTGGTCTCTCGTTCAACTGCACCCCACACATAATAGCCAAGTGGTGATGAAGCGGGAGTGTTGCAGTCTGGGAAGTTAGGTGGGCAGATGTAAGGGATGATGCGGTCGCAGAATTTGTCTGACGATCAGAACTGGGTTCTCCTGCTTGTGTGGCATGATGCAGAGTCCTGTAGCCAGACATAGGATCTTCTAGAAGCCACCCTCTTGACACAGTAAGATACAACCTTCTCAATACACTTGATGTATGCCTCCGTGGTGAGTCTAAGGCCCTGTGGGAAGATGAATGGAGGCATAACGTCATCATCACTAGTGATCACTGCGAACACCATGATGTTGACTGGATATACCATCCAACACTTTCTGAATCCTCTGCACTGTCCTCGTATTGACATTCAAACACTCCGAAATGGTCAAATTGGAGATTCCGGCGCGAATACCAAGCAGTACAGCATGTCGTTTGCAAATTTCTGATAGAGAGAATTTCGTCATGTTGGTCTTTTTTTCATAAACGGTGCTCAACGGACTCTAATGTACTGTGAAGTCGACAAAATCAAAAGCAACGCCCATGAGCGAAAAATAAAAATATAAAATGTCGATATTTTACCCATTGCACCCTGAATATATATATATATATATATATATATACATGCACACACACACACACACACACACACACACACACACACACATATATATATATATATATATATATATATATATATATGTGAGTGTGTGTGTCTATAAATAGTGATATATGTGTGTGTGTATAAATAGTGATATATATACATATATATATATGTATATATATGTGTGTGTGTGAATAGTGATATATATATATATATATATATATATATATATATATATATATATATATATATATATATATATATATATATATGTCAATTGACCGGAAGTGAGAAAAAAGAGAATATTGGAAACGTGACAAATTGCATATATATATATATATATATATATTTATGTGTGTGTGTATAAATAGTGATACATATATACATATATATATATAAAATATCAACGATGATATATATATATATATATATATATATATATATATATTATGTTTGTATAAATCGTGACCAAAAGAGAAAAAAATCTAGATATTGAAAATGGAAATCATAGTAAGTTAAAGATATGAACGCACACACACACACACATACACACACACACACACACGCAGAGAGAGAGAGACTGAGAGAACGACAGAGACTGAGAGAGAAAGATATGGAGAAGAAAAGAGAGGGAAAGATTCTTTTCTGTCCCTGGAGTCTCCAATAACTTCCACCTTTGACAGTGGAATCATGTCTTAAAGCCATGGGAATAGAGCACGCGCCAGGAATGTCACCGCACCCACGTGATTAGTTCACCTTGTATTCACCTTTGCGAAATGATGTAGATTTCTGGCAAAAAGTTTTTGCTTCGGAGAGAGCCTGGCCCGCAACGCTTGTTGACCTTTCTAGCGGAGCATGAAGAGAAATGCCTTGCGTTTAAAGGTCACTATTTGCAACATCGGTAACATGGAGACGAGTGGCGTTCACACATGACTCACCGTCAAGATTTAGTGGAATATGAATGAAGGGCTTGAGGAACATTCTCTTCCCTCCCCAGTACCGCCTTCATTTCAATTCTTTTATTTGTTTGTTCGTTACACTGCTTATTGGAAGACACGATTGATATCTTCGGGATTTTTTGTTTTTGTTTTTGCTGTCCGAAATTTTAATCATATAAATTGGAATGATTTTTTTTACATCTTTTCTTCATTTTCCTCCATTATTTTCATAAAATCATATCATATCTATCTATCTATCTATCTATCTATCTATCTATCTATCTATCTCTGTAAGTAGCAATATCTATCTATCTATCTATCTATCTATCTATCTATCTATCTATCTATCTATCTATCTGTAATAGCAATATCTATCTATATATCTATCTGTGATTTTCTTTCTATCTATCTATCTATCTATCTATCTATCTATGTCTGTCTTCATATCTATATATCTATCTATCTGGGTATATCGTCATATCTATCTATCTATCTATCTATCTATCTATCTATCTATCTATGTCTGTCTTCTTCATATCTATCTATCTATCTATCTATCTATCTATCTATCTATCTATCTATCTATCTCTGCCTTCATATCTATCTGGGTATATCGTCATATCTATCTATCTATCTATCTATCTATCTATCTATGTGTGACTGTCTTCATGTCTATCTATCTATCTATCTATCTATCTATCTATCTATCTATCTATCTATCTATCTATCTATCTCTGTAATAGGAATATCTATATATCTATCTATCTGTGATTGTCTTTACATCTATCTATCTATCTATCTATCTATCTATCATCTATCTATCTATCTATCTATCTATCTATCTATCTATGTGTGACTGTCTTCATATCTATCTATCTATCTGGGTATATCGTCATATCTATCTATCTATCTATCTATCTATCTATGTAATAGCAATATCTATCTATATATCTATCTATCTGAGATTGTCTATCTATCTATCTATCTATCTATCTATCTATCTATCTATCTATCTATCTATCTCTGCCTTCATATCTATCTATCTATCTATGTGTGACTGTCTTCATATCTATCTATCTATCTGGGTATATCGTCATATCTATCTATCTATCTATCTATCTATCTATATATATATATATATATATATATATATATATATATATGTATGTATGTATTGATACGCATCGAAACATGACTGCAATTTTGTAGCGATTTTGACATGATTTCGGCAATATCCTAAAATAAATAATATTGCCCTACTTTGTAGTGAGCCTTATTTTAAATTAAATGTTACGAACTATGGCATTTTACTCGTATTCGTTCCCATCTTACTTGGATCTATCTATCTATCTTTCTATCTATCTGTTTATATTCAATTTCCTTATTTACAGAAAGTCGCTGAGAATACGTTGGTGTGAACAACGACGGAGTTTTATAGAAACTGGGAACAAAAAGGACACTTACACTTAACATCAGAAAGAGACAGATGAAATTTCTAGGGCTCACAATAAGATAAGTGAGTTTAGAAAATTGGATATTCACAAGACATATTGAAGGCAAGAGGGACAGAAGAAAACTACGTAACGAGATTGTGTGAATGGCTGACAGAAGAGAGATTAGGAGGTATAGAAAAAAGACAAAATTTACTAGAAGCCTTGAAAGACAGGAGATCGTGGAGAGCCATGATCCCTCACGCCCTGAAGAGACTCGGCACATAGAAAAAGGAGGAGATTATCACTCAGACGTCGTCTATCGATAGTAAACGACGTGTTTTCAAATGACATTTCGTTTAAGCAGCCATATTGTTTTTTGTTGTCTTTTTCCAAAATTGAGTGATTGGGCGGGAAGTTGCGACCAGGAATTGTCTTGCTTCCTTTTATGGAACTGACACAAGCAGATATATCCAAATATGAAAGGCGTGGGTCAACCAATCAGGTCACCTACACGGCACATAGTTGAATTTTGATCAGAAATGTTCACTGTCCCATGTTCGTGATACGCGACTAATGTTCACCACTGAATTAAGTGCCTTGACAAAGATTATCTTACAAAATAAATATTTGTAGTGCAAAATAAATGATTCGGTCAACATTTGCCTACGAACTCTAGCTAAATTGATGAGCTGTGATGCAGCAAAACAGTCTCATTGTGGAGGACTATATATATATATATATATATATATATATATATATATATATATAGAAAAAATATACGGAAAAAAACAAACAAAAATCCTAATATGCAATTATGCTGTTTTAATGTTAATATAATGTCAACATTGGACGTTTCGGTCTAATAGACCATCTTCAGGACATATTCATAAAACGTAATTAACATAATATGTCCTGAAGATGGTCTATTAGACCTAAACGTCCGACGTTGACATTATATTAACATTAAAACAGCATACCATATCAGGATTTTTTGTTTTTTTTTCCGTATATTTTTCTTCATACTGTCGGATCTATATCCATGTATTTGCTTACGTCTTTAATGAAAACACACACACACACACACACACACACACACATATATATATATATATATATATATATATATATATATATATATATATATATATATATATTTCATTAAAGACGACAGACAAAGTACTACGATTAAGTTTTTTATTTAATTTTTCTTGTGTTCATAGAAGCGTTTCCTTCGTTGGACACAGAGTGTGTAGAAACTGTTCAAAATTTCTATAATTCCGAGCGCTTTAGGCTATAATTTTAAACATTCTCAAGGATAATTTTATTTTTGCTTTTTAATTAGGTGCATAAGTTGTGTGTATGTTTTTAGAATTATAGGGATCTTTTATCTTTTGAACACAGTAAGCACATTGTGGCCGTGTTCGTAGTTAATATTGTTAAGTGCTGGCTTTTTCTTTTTTATTATTAAGGCTTCCATTATTTTTAATCATTTTTTTTTACGTGTGGATGAGGTTATTATATTTGTCTTTTCTACTAGTATGTTTCGGATGGAGTCTGGTAAGTTTGTGTTTGTGTTTCAATGGATTCTAATAGAGCTGTGGTCGGATAGATGCAACGTAAGTCGTCTGGATAAGCATGTAGTTGTGTAACCGATGTAATTATTTATGAGTCCGGTTTGATCAGGAACACAGTTCCTTAAAGTACATTTGAACTCATAGATAATGTTCGTTTGTTGTAATTTTGATCTTGCTGGTGTGTTGTTATTTTTGAGGATAAGATTAGCTGTTATAAATTTTTTGTAGTAGATAATTAATTTAATTTTTTGTTCGGGTCAATTGAGGTAGTGTATTTCTTTATGATATTTGGACACTTTCTACACACTCTCCGTCCAGAAAAGAAAAAAAAAACTTGTTCGAACACAAGAAAAATTAAATAAAAAGCTTAAACGTAGTACCTTGTCTGTCGTCTTTAATGAAACATGTATAAATGAAGGATTGCTGTCTTTCATTAAATGAATAGAGCACTATGGCTGTCTAGCGTTTGTTTACATTCGCAAAAATAATACGCTAGAATTTCCCTTTCCCTCTGCCGTGCGCTGATAGCTCAGGGGTAGAATCTCTGACCGATGCTAAATCGGTCGGGTTTCGATCCCGGATACAAGCAATCGGATGTCTAGCCTCACTGATGACCTGTGATACAGTGAAACAGGCCTGCATGTGGATATATATATATATATATATATATATATATATATATATATATATATATATATATATATATATACACACACATATGACCAATGTGTTTAAGCTGGGTTTTGACTTCAATGCCCATAATTACAAATTTCAAAATAACTATAACAAATGCGTGTTTTTAAAAATCACCATCACAACGTTATAAAAAAAAACTACGGCGAATTCCTTGATGAATTTCATCTTAACATCAAGAAATCTCATTAGACAACTGGAAACGATAAGTATAAAAACAAGTAGACACAATATGTCTATACTATTCAATGAAATATATATATATATATATATTTGTTTACATTTGATACGCCATGAGCAGACATGAATGTACGTGAGAGATTCATGGAAGATTGAAGTTTAAATACAGTAAATTCGACCTTGCAAGCCGAACGCTCCTCTGTGGCCAAATCGGTAAAGGCACGTCAAGCTAAATGACGGTTCTGTATAAGATACAGGTTCGAATCCTATCGGAGGACGAATATTTTCTGTGAAAATTTCTAGGACATTCAGGTCGGTAAATGTTGTTTATTATAAACAGAGCATTTACTTAAATATTTGTATCTATGGAAAGAATGTTAAACATAAAAATGTCTTTATTTATATATATATATATATATATATATATATATAGGACCAGTATAAAAATGAGTAGATACAATATGTTTGTATTATTCAATGAAAATTTTTTAATTTGTATGTCTGATGAATTGGACTGTGATTATGATTCCAATGTAATAAATTATGACCATGGAATATTAGTGTTTTAGCCTTTCATATTATATTCTTACTCTGTCCTGGATATTGAGTTCTACCTGGATTCTATCCTCTTGAAATATATATATATATATATATATATATTGACCCCTAGTATTATCTCTATATCTCTCTCTCTTTCTCTCTCTCTCTCTCTCTATATATATATATATATATATATATATATATATAATACCAGTATAAAAATGATTAGACAGAATATGTCTATATTATTCAATGATATATATATATATATATATATATATATATATATATATATATATATATATATATATATATGTATGTATGTATATGTGTG